AAAGATGGGGAAGGGGTTTATTGTATTTTTATTTTTCCATTTGGCTTGTGACGACACTATTTAACATTTTTCTAACTTTTTTTCATAAAATTATACAAAATACTCCTACGAGTAATCTGTTATTCGCAATTTAATTTTATTCGTCAATACAGTTATAACCGTTTACGCACTATATCGTAAATAAACACTTGCCGAAATTATAAGCTACAAATTAATATAATAATTTTAATATTATAAGACTTATATAAGAGTTGTATGTAAAACACCGATTACTAATCATTAATACCGCTAAAAACATTTTAATATGTTATTCTTTTTAGTTATTAGGTAATATACCTAATTATATATTACCTTAGGTAAATGTGTTTTTTACACTTAATAATTTTTTCCTAAATAGTACCTCTCTATAGTGAACATTTTTTGAATTTTTCATAAATGTTAAGGTTTTTTCAATAATGGACCATTCCTTAAGATGGCGGTTTCACTGTATACGGTTTGGGCAAGTATTCATTTTACCAAAAATTCTGTTTGGACAAATAAGTATGAATAAAGGTTTGTAAGTAAATTAATTTGTATGCATAGCATAGTAAAATAATGTATATTGTATATTGTAAAAAAAATCACATACAATGTACATATTTAATAATAATAATAAATTTTAACTTTAAAAAGATTATGATATAGATATTAGATAAACTTGATATAAAGTGATATATACTATAATAATACTACAGTCAAAAATTAATGAAATTAAATCACGTGTGCATCCAAGTCAAGAGCGGATCCAGCATGTCTTTACGGTTGGGGCACTTTATAGGAAAAATTTTATAATATAGATATATCCCCACAAAACAAAAAAAATTAATACTAAAATTTTTATTTTTTTTTCCAACGGGGATGGTACTTGCCATCAATTCCCCCCCCTAGAACCGTCCATAATCCCAAGTCCATATTAATTACTCTGGTAAAAAATAATTTCATTCATTTAATCGGACAATTTTATTTTTTTGGTAAAAATTATTTCTCTCCTAAACGACCACTACCCATTTTCATATTTTGTTATTTACTTTCTAACTCGTATAAATATGAAAATTATAAGATTATTATTATTTTTTTTTTTTTTAACTTATAAATTATTTGAACACCTACTTTTAAAAGTACAAATAAATCTTATGAAAAATAATTAATTATAAAAATAACAGTTACATAAATCACATCTGGCTTAAATTAAATACAATTATATTTTATACAAGTACTTATGAAGTAAACATATACTCATACAAGTCATACGAATTATTCAGTAAAATGGTAACTATACATTAGTATAGATACAATTTTACCGTAATGCACACATTATACTATTATGTCTATTATACAGTAAAATTATAAATAAATATTACAGTTATTTTTCCCGTATAATTACTGGCGTGTATAACTTTATAAAATAACCTTAATTATTATGATATTGCAAGCAGTAATAGTTATAACTTATAAATAATGAACACTAATAGTTTTTTATTTATAAAACTATAATATAATAATATCGGTGAACTCATTCTTTATACCATTAGAAGGATATGAATGTATAATACATATTGTATAGATAAAATACTACCTTCGAATATGCCACTAACAACTAAAATGGATGAGTTAAATTTAAATTAAATAATAGATCATTGTATATTGTATTTGACAAACGATTCTGAGAAAGAGCAAATGTGTTATATGATATGTATCTGTTTCTAAAGACACTTTTTTATATTTAGGTATAAATAGTTATAATTTACATATTATGTTTTATTATATAATAAATCATGTATACATTAAACTTGTTTTACTAAATACATTAAATATAACTATATAGCCTATAAGTATATATTAATACATCCGATATCATAGAAACTTGTAAATCCTTAAAATAACAAATTAACAATGTACAATTAGGCAAAATATTTTTCTAAATTTCATCTTCGTGGAAAATAATAATATGCGTATAATTAAAATCTCATTCGGTTAATATATTTTAAATTACAACAAATTAAATAAAATTGCTAAAGGGTCATAAAATCATAACTCATATAAGGATCATCGTTATGTTTCGTTCAATTTTAGGATTTCATCAGAATTTGAATAATTCATAAATTATAAAATATAATATACTGTCTCTATTCATATAGTTTGTGATTTAACTTGAAACCCTAATTAAAAATAAATTGTAACTGAAAAGTTTATAGGTACTTACCTATATTTAAAATATTATAAAACCAATTTATCGGGAACGTTAATATTACATAATTTTTATGCTTTTTGACTTAAAATCAAAAATTATAAAAAAGGTAGGCAAGTGGAATCAATTCTGCTATATACGTATTACGTGTCGAACAGATCAATTTAATGGGTATGTAAATTAGAATTCAATGACAAATCATTATATAAAAAAAAAAAAGATTTTGAGTAAATATGATCTGTCAGCCACAGAAATGGAAGATTTTTCATACTAATAGCTCAAAAAAGTTAAAATATTTTGAAAATAATACCATGTATAGAAAATGATAATTAAGTATTTGGTAAATACTTCAAATATCTAATGTTATTATTATTTATTTTTTTTTTTATTTTTTTGAAATACGACAAAATATTAAAAATTGACTATCGAGTATTCTAAAAATATTTGAACTTCAAATACTTATATACAATTTAAATGACTTTCGGCTTAAATTTTTTTAGTTTGTTTAGCATAAAAATGCTTGTTAAGTTTGTTTTTACTGTTAATTTTTATCTCTCAAAAGTACTAACTAGATTTAATTTGCTATATTAAGCCATCCTCAAAGTTGATAATCGAAATATTTTATCGACTACCTACTTATCGTATAATTTATACACAGACGTAAAAAAACATATCAATATAAAATCAATAAATTCATCACTTTACTCAAAACCTTAAAATGCATTTTAAATTTTATAAATACTTCGCTGGTATACACAAACTATTATGATACGTATAATATATAAATTAGGTATTACAACGATATATTAATAAACTGATTTTTTTTTTCTAGTATTTACCTACCTAAATTTCCAATTCCTTACTTATTTATCTATAGCATAATGATTAAAAATACTATATAAATTATAATATAATTATTATAATAGCATTTAGGTACAGTATTTATTTACGTATAAACGATTACTATACCTACATAATCTACAGATAAAAAATTATTAACATCAATATTATTTTAAATTATAGTGATGTCTTATGTAATAATATGTACATTAAAATGTTTCATATAAATAGGTGCTTATTATTGCTATTAAGTATCTATTAACAAATAAACTTTTTTATCATTTAAATGTTGCATATATTATGTATAGTGTATATATTGCATAATGCATCATTGCAGGGGCGTCCCGTACTGACCCGTAGGTATCTCTTTTTATAAGCTTAAAGCATACCCTTGAAGTTTTGATGTTCACAAAATTCTTTAAAACGAAAAAAATTTACAAGCTATTTTATTTATTTATTCATTAACAATTAACAGGCAATTTTTTTTTATAATTAAATACTATTATAATTATCATAATTATCTACATTTATAATATGTTCAATTTTTATATTGGTATCACTTTAATCGAATACAACTAATACAAGGTTCTTCATAAATAGTTCTCACTGAAATTCAAATCCCAAAAACTTTTAATGTTGTAACTTTTATGTTTATAAGTAGAATTTTCTTTTTTAGCCATTTGAGTTTCAATTGACGAAATTAGATATTCAGATGAAAAATAATGATGTTACTTATTTTAATGTAGGTAATTCAAAAATATTATTCACAGGTAGGCATCTACCAACCTACCTAAGACATTTAAATTTATAATAATTTACTATATTCCTTAATCCTTATTATTCATGCCGTGAATACTTTTTTGAAACTATTGCACTGTTCTCCAGTAACAGTTAATGACAATAATACATGATATAATATTGATATAATAATATATAATATTGATGTCTAATAATTTATGATGTACCTAATAAATGGTGTATGTTTATGCCTTACGGTAAAAATTAATCAACGGTTTAGGTATCAATAGTAAAATCAATAATTATAAAAATAGACGATAGAAATATAAATATTATATAATAATAGATGTTTAGTTTCTTCCGTTAAAGTTTGAGAAGAAAAAGTGCAAATAATGCCACATTGCATTACGTGTATAGCTCTAAGTTGGTTTCTAATTAGACTTATGCAGGTATACTTAAACAATAACTGCATAAACGAACAATTTCAAATAGTTATAATTTCAAAAACTAAATCTGTACGAGAATTTTAGTTAGCACCATCGTCCTTAACTCGGTTAAGATACATAAGTTTTTCCAATAATTTAATTCCTCTAAAAGCATGCTAAACCGGATTTCTTTGGTAAACGTTTTCGAAATCTTTTATTCGACGAATTTATACTTAGATTTTGAAAATTAATTTTATATTGTCCAGCTCTGATCATAATTAATAAGTATTAACTAAGTATAATTAAAAATTGACTAAATAGGTTGTTGTGTAAAATTTCATAATAGTTAGATAATATAAGTAATATAACATACAAACAACTAATTGTTGTGATTTCAAAATTTAATACCTATTTATTTTTTAAATCTCATGACGGATTACACTTCAGTACCTCACTTTCTCTCGACGAGCTTTGACGATATGACAGTATACGAGAAGTAGATAACCCGTTGAATTTGATGTATAATATTACCATAGTTACAGTCTGTTGATCATACAGCATACTATATACCTAACCAGTAACCTAGTAGGATTAGATCGTCCGATACGTACACAGCCACGGAATAAAAATCGAAAATATTCAACTCCGGTCAGGTAGTTTCCCAACTGGTGAAGATGTACATAAAACAGTTGTTTCTCTGTCCGATAGAGAGCGCAGTGGTCTCACGCACATTATTCTTCTGGAATTCGAAAACGAGATTTCACTCGTGCCGCGACGTGACAACAACGGTTGCACGTCTGCACGTCCGCAGTTTCAATTCCGCCGTGGTCGTCTTCTGTGTGGTTGTGAATCTAGACTGTCGAGCTGTGCCAATCGTACGCGTAACGTCAGTCGTCGCGCGTCCGGTTCCAATCGAGGTACAAGACGGTCTCCACATCGACGATCGACATATATCTAGGCAATATTTTGTCCATCCATTTACAAACTATCCACTGGACCATACATCATAACTACCGTTTATCTGCTTATATCATAAGACATGAACAAAATATTGACATTCACAAGATGCCTGAGCCGCCCAAGCGCGTTTTTGCTAAGCGATGCGGCTTCCGTTAGAAAGAATCACTTCCGGTAAGTCTGCGATATACACTTTGAAAATCGTGTAAAGTATATCACATATATTATTGTTAAAAATAAATTTATCCCATTTCAGATTCATGAGTATTGTTCGCGCACCACCAGTGCCTCCAGCCATAACCGGTACAGCTGTCAGCAAAGACGAAACCAGGGATTTTATGGCAGTGTTTCCAGACGTTGTTAGAGATCTGACAGAAACTGGCCGTAACTTAGACATACCTGACGTCACCAAGTGGCTTGCTAAGGTATGAGAAATTGATTTTATGTAACATTTTTGTATTAAACGTTCTGTTTTATTATAGGTGTTGCAATACAATGTGCCTGGCGGTAAGAAAAACCGAGGATTGGCTTTAGTACTGTCATTCAAAATGCTTTCCTCCCCTTCTGATCAAACTGATGAAAATCTTAGACTGTCTTACATACTGGGATGGTGTGTTGAAATTGTAAGTCGTTGTGATTTGTAACTAAAAAAAAAATATTAGTTTTGATCACTTATCATACATGTTCATCTCTTTCTTTGGACCCTCTTAATTTAAATATAATTTATAAATGTAGACACAAAAATTTTAACTGATTTAAAACTTAAAGCTCATCAATAAGCAAATTATATGACAATGTAAATGTGTTAGTTAAAAATGGGTGCAATGAAATAAAATTATTTAATCTTTACATTATATTTCTCAAATATGTTACTTTAATTATTCTAATGCAAATTGTATAAGTGATAAATTCATATTTCTATTTTACAATATAACTTTATCTCAAATAAAAATTATCAATTTTACAAAAGAATTGGTAAATTTAAATAATAGTTAATAACTTTTCATTTTATGATATAAGATCATTTAAAAATATAAGTTGGTATATTTATTTATCTTATCACTAATTATTTTTATTATGCAAGAATTTTTTAATTTTATCATTTTTCAATGAATTTATTTGACTAATAGAAAATAAAAATAGTAAAAATAGTTTTTTTTATAAATTATTTAATAATAAAAAAAATGCCAGTATTGATTTAATTTCTTACCTATTCATTTTATAGACTTAATTTAATGAATTAATTTATTATATCACAAATTATAATTGTGGGTTATTTATTAAAATTGACACATTTTTTTCTTGTTCAACTAAAAATAATATGATCATACAAAGTATGTTTTTAATGAAATATTTAATTCTTGTAGTAATTGCTAATTCATTAATTTTTTTTTTACAAAATCATAAAAAATAAAAAATTAGTAATAATTTTATTACTATTTTATTTTTATCTGTTATAATTTTAATTGTGTGTGTGTTATTACTTAACATATAACTGAGTAAATATTTTATATAATAAAATACAGTTAGTTTATTTATATGATTATTAAAAAATGATTGTAACAATTATAGTTAATATTATAACATTGATAAATATTTGTTGCAATTTAAAAATATTGTATTACGTTATTTCATTTTTTTTTTTTTTCTTAAAACATTAAATAAGTATACCTTAATCACTTGCGAACTTAGTTTATAATTATTCATTGTTGGTTAGTGCTATAAATAATAATCGTATTTCATGAAGTACTAGATTAATTTTATACTACTACCTTAATTAGTAATTTAACATATGCAGCAAAATATTGATGGGAAATCAATAAATAATCACTTACATATATATATTTAATTTCTTTTAGTTGCAAGCTTATCAATTAGTGTTGGATGACATAATGGATAATGCTATTACTAGACGTGGACGTCCTTGTTGGTATAGACACAATGATATTGGTCTAATGGCAGTGAACGATGGTATTCTTCTCGAACAGACCATTTACCAGTTGATTAAAAAGTACTTCAAGGATAAGCCTTATTACATACACATTCTGGAGCTGTTCTATGACGTACGAAATATAAATTCTCATAAAAATATTCGTTACACAATTTAGGGCCGTGCATAGGATAACAAAAGGCCTTGGGAAATATTTACATGACTTATTTATGTTATTAATTAAAAATTTACTTTTTCTATACAACTTATATTGCTGTCTTAAAGTTAAACTAACATGGATCCCAGGGCCTGAGTTTTGCCCTAAATACGGCCCTGACACAATTCAATAATTAGGTTACAATGAAAACTTCAATGGGTCAATGTCTTGATATGCTTACTGCAAATAGCTTTAAGACAAAAAAACTTGAAAAATATACCATGGAAAATTATACAGCTATTGTGAAATATAAGACTGCTTATTATTCATTTTTTCTTCCTGTATGTCTTGCAATGCGAATGGTAAGTAAATGTTTATGATAACATCCATTACATTTTACTTAATAATATAATATTACAGACAAACATTAATGATCCAGAAATTTTTCGACAAGCTAAGACCATATTGCTTGAAATGGGACACTTTTTTCAAGTTCAGGTATAAATTGTTTATTTGAATCAATTAAATAGGAATTATTGAAATAAATATTTTTTTTTAGGATGACTTTTTAGATTGTTATGGTGATCCAGACGTCATGGGAAAAATTGGCTCGGACATTGAAGATGGCAAATGTTCATGGTTAGCTGTAATGGCTTTGCAAAAAGTAAATTCTGAGCAAAAAAAAATTATGGAGGTAACATATCATATAATAGTTTACAGTATGGTTTGAAATTTTAACTTATTGAATATATTGTTTTAGGATAACTATGGTATTGATAATCCATTGAATGTTGCAATTATCAAAGATTTGTATGAACAGTTGAAATTACCAAACACATTTCAACTCTACGAAGAAGAAAGTTATAAATTAATATGCACTCATATTCAACAATTGTCACGTGGTTTATCACAAGACATGTTTTTTAAATTTTTAGAAAAGATTTACAAGAGAACACTCTAATAAGAAATTTTAAATTTTTACCTAAATGCATTAATTGGGCATTTATGTAAATCAAATATAAATAATAAAATTATTATTATTTATCAGTAGCTAAACAATAAATTGTTATTAATATATTTTCATGTTAAAGTTAAGGGCAATTTTGTGTAAATTATTATTATTATTTTTTTTTTTAATCAATAACTTATTTTTCCAAAGATATTTTTATCATTATTATTATAACTTTCAAAGATTGAAATTAAATATTTTTAAAAAATCTATAATATACTGTTCAAAATACAGTGATGAAAACATTGTTGTTATTAAAATGTCTTCATATTTTAAAATGTTATTTGTTAAAATTATTTTATACTTTAATGATTTATTATTGTACAGCTATTAATGATTTTTTTTCTACTCTTAAGTTATAATTGTTCATAGTTCTAATACCATTATATTGTTTTTGAAATTGATAAATGAGTAATTATTGAATTTTTTATTTATTAAAAATAGAATTTCATAAAATTCTTTATTATATTTTATATGTTATTTATTGATAAAAAATTGTGATTGAGGCACTTATTATATTGTGTAACATCTTTTTTTGTATTACTCTTGAAAATTTAAAAAAAAAAGTCCTAAATATTCCAAGAAGATAATGTTAAGAAAACATTATACTTTCATGTTTTTCTTGTCTTGTACACTCTGAATATCCAAATAAATTAGAATGAGTTAGTATGAGCCAGCGGTTCCCAAACTTTTTTGAACGTGGTGCCCTTTTAGGGGCACCATGTTAACCACGGTGCCCTGCTGTATATAACATGAAAGATGGAACAAAAAAAGTACTCATTGAGAACCAATGAAACGTAGACCACGGTGCCCCTAGAAAGTGCTGGCGGTGCCCCTAGGGCACAGTTTGGGAACCGCTGGTATAAGCAGTTGAGTATAACTTAATAGAATACAATAGTACATTAATTTCTTCACAAAACCATTTTAAATTTACTATCAACATGTACTAACTAAATGTAATGTGCCTAAAATTAGAATTTTTACACAATAAGTGTAATTGAGCATTTTCTTCAATAAATACTTACTACAATCAATACAGTTAGTAAATTTTTATTTACATACAATTAAACCATAGATTTAAGTGCAATATATTTTAATTTATCTATGGTTAAATATATATGAACTCAAAAGTGAAACATAGAGGGCCTAGTCATATTATATTTGTACATTATTTAACACACAAATTTGAACTACCTACTTACTATTTAAAAATATTCAATAATGTAAAAAGATAAATCTACAAATGATAAATAATTTACAATTTCTGGTCATGTCGTTACAGTATAAAATACCAAATGTATTTTTAATTATATAATATATTCCATATTTACTTCTTAAAACTTATGAAATTTTTTGATAATACGACAACATGAAAACCCAATAATAATCTTACAATCCTTTAACAATGTGGAATAACTCAAATGTGACCGTGGAGACAATTGAAAAAAAAAATAAAGAAAACAAAAAAAACCTCTTAAAAATAATAAAAATTGTAACATAAAATAAAAATAACATTTTACAAACTCATTGTGTTGCGATTGTTCATGTAGAATTGATGTCCTGATACAACCAATGTAAATATATAAAGACAAGCAGCAATCCAACAGTTATATGCATTCTGAAAAAAAAATGAAAAGGTTATCAATTGTTTACATTGTATGTTGATCATAAAACAATTACAAAAACTTAGACAATCCAATGGTTTGTTAAAATATGTTAAATAAGGTCATTATAAATTTAAATATATTATAACAACAATAATGTTATACTCTATTCAAGTAAAATTTATCCTATCTCGAACATGATTACTGACGAATCCCAGGAAAAGAACAAAATAAAAGATATTTAAAGAAAAGAAATATATTTTAAATCTTCTTTTATATTAATAGTAGATTAATATTCAAAGACAATCAGCAGACGTTTTTGTGATAATTTCAAGTAAAATAATTTTTCACTTTATATTATATTTGTGAAGTGAAATCCAATTGAGTGACATGTTTCCAAGTACATATTAGAATATAATATGTATGTCAAACATTTACAAACACAGAATTATATTTCATATGTTTCCTATCATAAGCCATTGCTTACAATTATTTGTTGATTTGAATAAATCTTAAGATAAGGACAAACGATTGGTAATATGTTTTATAGCCAAAATACAATATATTAATAATGCTATATATTTCCTGAAAGGAAAAAAACTAAAGGTTTTTAAATGTGTAACCAAGAATAACTAAATGTTTTTCTTTTGTACTTAGCTATAAATGTATATTTTAAATAATCTACTTTTTAACTTTTGATTTAAAAATTTTCATTTTTTTAAAGTCTACATCAAAGTAAGAACTACACATTACTACATTGATAACAATGAGGTATCAACAGGCTACATTTTATTCACTCAAATAACAACACAAATAAAGTTAATGGATGAAAGAAATTTGAAGATTTAAAAATCAACAAGAAATTTACAGCAATAAAAACTATTTTTATTCTACATTCATTCTACTATTTTTATTCTACCTAAATACCTGTTATATTTTATTTCAAAAAAAAAAAATATGTTCCATTTTTATTATTCTTTATTAGTAAATTTATTTTATTGATTACATTACTGACCATATTATTATGAAAATTAAATAATAAGTAACTATACATTTTGACTGTTTCTTCAAATATTGATACATGTTTTTATTAGGCAATTTTTTAATCCACGCCCATTTTTATGACCAAGTACGATAAAGGACATAATAAGAGAGAATATATTAGCATTTGATAGGACAACTAAATTAATAATTATAGATTTTGCATGGTATAAAATCAGTTAATCTATTTATTATTATAAAAGTCATTTTTATTACTCACCAAAGAATACATTTTGTCAGCGTAGCTGTAGAAATCTTGTGGATCAGTAAACTTATGTTCCTCGGGAATGTTCAAGTCTTCAATAAGCGCTACACTACGAATGTAATAGAAAAATCCCATCAAAACCTGTGCAAAAACAATCGTTAAAATCTTACAAATAATAGAAACATTGGTTAAAGTCAACTGACAAAAAAAAAAAACTATTTACTTACCAATTGGATTATTCCCCAAATGCTGATAATGATCCCGCACAGGGACAGTTTAGGTCCGCAGAATTTCATGGCGTTCGATTAAAGAGTGCCGATTTCAGTTATATTAAAATCTAGTGCGAGAATACAAAGTAATATCGAGAAGTCGAGATTCGATTCTACCTTGAGAGTGGTTAATTCATTAAATGTAATCTTGATTCTTGAGTTTGTCTATCCGCCCAATTTTTTTTAACAAATGTTAGTTTATTGATAAGTAGAAAATACAAGTACAGTTTCACCAGCAGTACTACACATAAATACCGTGTACCTCGCTATCGAATTCTCCGGTGATCGTTCCCAAAGGTCGTTCTTCCGACTGATTATCTATATATTTAAGAATTCGCTGATAACACAAAATACGGCGACATTCACAAAATTTTCGCTAATTTACGATTTTTTTCTACCATTAAAACATTGCTTGAACGACAAAAATGTCATCAGATACAGACACCATGCCCGGAAAGATTTTCGGTTATGAAAAACAACAACATACTGGTCGGAACTCAATCGAAAACTTTTTAGAGAACCTAAAAGGCGTATTCCTCGGACCAGTAATCTGGGTTAGAGGTAACACCGTTACTGTTTGCTAATTATTTTTTTATTCACATAAGATAGTGCATATTTTTTAAATAGTTATTGAGTCTCACTTACATTTGCTTGTCTTTTGTTTTTAGAAACCATTGTAAAACCCAATCAGAAAGATTACAACTACTATCATGAACAGTTACGTAGAGTGCCCACAGTTGATCAGTGTTATGACGATGACAGACTGTGCAAATGGGAAGCCAATCAGCAGTTAATTCGGGATAAGTATGTGTAACAAATCAAAAAAAAAATCCATAATTGATAGAGCAATAGTATTTGTTATTTTTTAAAATTGAAGATAGTTCATTAAAATAAACGGTTAAAAAACTTGAAAATCCGTTCATTTTTGCTCATAGTTATTGATACATAGAGTTGCCAGATTTTAAAATCATCAAACTGGAACATCATTTTTTTCTTTTAGTCTCAAGTTTAAAATTTCTGAAGCTTTTTAAAAAAAAGAAAGACAAATAAACCTGAAAACACGTCAATAAAATTTAGATAACATAATACGGTAATGATAAATACTATGTACAATATTATTTTATATTTTATAATTAAATAATACAATATTAAAGTTATTTTCTCTTGGTTCCATTAACCGGTACAAAATTAATGACCTTCCAGGACACCGGGACGAATGACAAGCCTATTGATACATATTTTAACTTAAACCTTAATATTCTTATTAACACATAATATTTTTTATGATATTGGTATATAAAATTCATTAAGAGAATGTTTATAATATAACAAATACTATAGTTTATCTTAAGTTAATATTTGAGCAATTTTACATATTATGAAATTTGTAGAAGGTAATAAAGTGATGAGCAGATTTTACGCATTTCATTTAAAATGAGTTATATGAACTTAAAACATTAATTAATTATTTCAAAATTGAGTTTGTTACTATAATAAATATGTTCAATTTAATTTCAATGTTAAACCATTGCTTATTATTCTAATTAGGGATAGTCTATTGACCTTTATTTCTTATATTAAAAGTCTGAATTAATTTTTCCATAAACTATCTAATGATGAATAATTAACTTATAAGTTAATACTATAAAATAAGTATAAATATTTTTTAAATTTCTTTGTATTAAAAAAAAAAAAAAAGTACTAACTAGATCAAATTTCTTACTACAAACCACCTCTAAAATTAAAAATTAAAACACTTTTACTGCTGCTTAAGGTGATATTACAAAAAACAACATACATTAATCTTTTTGTTTAATATGTACATTTATGAGATATTGATTTTCTAAAACTAAGATAATTGTTTGAATTTTTTAATTTATTAACTAAAATTTTATAGGCTAGTAGATAGCAATATTCTATCCATTTTAAGACAAAGGTATGAAGATTGTCGGATTTATGAAGCACCAGATGGTATGAGGAAATGCAAACCATTGTCTGAAATTTACCAGAAAGCTGAGGAAAATTATTCAATTAAATGTAAGTATAGAACATATTTTTGAATATTGTAAAATGGAAATATGTAAGGTTAAAATGATTTGTTTTATAGATGGCGATTTGGGTGTTGCTGTTACTGCCGAAAGGTGTTATGCAAAACAACTCAATCGCATGATATGGGAAAGACGTCATGGACCCGTTGGAACTGGAATGAAAAATGATAGCTTGTAATTCATGATTTTTAACACACAGTATATAATTATACAGTAGTGTATAAAATTAGAAAATAAAACCCAGTCAGGAATTTAGAAAAGAAAATTATATTCTGAAATGTTTAACGTGAAAATAAATGTTATTATTTTTTTTTTTTAATACAAGTACTTTGTACAAAATGTTACACTTAATTATTAAGCATGTGCAAATATAAATATTGAGCCTTAGTTTCTAATTGAGTGAGCTCATTGATAGTAGACAACAATTGATCATAATGATTTTTATATGAGGGTCCATTATTTGTTTTTTTTTGGCCATATACAACTTTTCCATCAAATTCATTCATAGGAATATCCAGTTCTGGACCAACTTGTGGTATAGTTATATTCAAATGATCTTCAATTTCAGCCAAATACTGGGGTTCATTGTACCATATGCAACAGCCTTTGTTAGTAGTTAGATTAGTATTTGAACACCTCTGTCCTCTGGATGGACACCATTCGCCGTGATACCAAACTTTTTCTGGGATAGTAGCCACAAATGAAATGGCCAATCCCATACGCTCTGCTCTACCCACACGACCAATTCTATGAACATAATTAGTCTTGTCATCAGGTAAAGTCATGTTAATCATGAAAGGTAACCCATTAACATCAATGCCACGAGCTGCTACATCAGTACAAATCAAAAACTTGATCTCACCATTCTTAAACTTTTCTAAATTCACTCTACGATCATTAACATTTCGTGATCCATGAAGAGTACAACAAGAATAAAAAGAACCAAGTTGTTTAAAGTATTTTTCTAAATTATCACAATCAAGTTTAGTGCGGCAAAATATGAGAGCTTTGTCCATTTTGTGTTTGTTAATAGCTTTGATACAGTATTCACCTTTTAAAAGCTTAATTCCTTGAGATAATGCTTCAGATGTATTCAGTGCTCTTATATTATCTCTATCATGTACACCATCAGTTGGAATGGGATTTTTTAAACAAGTCCACGATGAATCTTTCTGGGAATCAACAGTAACTACAACATGATGTACAGTCTCAGGAACAGCGTCTTCACCTTTAAGATCTACCCAAGTTGGAAAGTGCATAAGACGTGTCGCCAATTTTTTTACTTCAAAATCGTGAAGTGTTGCAGAACAAACAATCATTTGAAGTCTTTTACCATCATAAGAAACTTTTGGCATCTTCTCGTGTAGATTTTCTATAAGTTTTGTATAACGCTGTTTTAATAATCCATCAGCTTCATCTAATATATAAAATTTACAATGAGATAAAGATAAATGGCCACCAGATATAAGATCTTCCAGACGACCCGGGGTAGCAACAATAATATCAACACCTGAAGATAAGGTAGCAATTTGATCTTTAATGCTAAAACCACCAACTACTAAGAGATCTTTAACTTGCGGTTCTACAAGGTATTTCTTAAAGTTTTTTATTTGATTAAAAGTTTGTTCTGCTAATTCTCTAGAAGGTTCAATAATTATTGCATATGGTGCATTATTTGGTTTTTTTGTATTTGAATTCATTTTTGGAGCATTACACTGAGAGAGTTCAATGCAATTGCTAGGTGCCTTACTTATAGCGAAGAAGTCTTTAGGAATATCATATTTAAATGATGATTCACCAAAATTGAATGCTATTTCAGCATTTTTTAATACAACAGCTGGATAAAATGTTGAAGTTTTCAAATTTGCAGGAATTTTAAATGCATCACCAAGATATTTACCATTTTTACTGAATCCAATAATCCAATTATCCAGATCTAACCAACAGCCGATTGTATCATGTAAACCAAAACTTTCACCATAAGAATCAAACTGTTTGTTATTTGACTTTTTGCCTGTTCCGCCAAAACCAAAACCAAATTTATCCGTACCTAGATCTAACACGGCTCCTGGTGTAGACCAGCCAACTCGACACAGACCTTCATCAGTGACGGTTGTTTCAAAATAATATTTTCCAGAGTTTTTAACGCCCTTAGTAGCTCTACAACCATGCCAATCCTTTTGCTCTCTTGATTGACATTTTTTACCATCTGGTGTCACAGCTATGGCAGATGAACGGTCCCACACACTCATGGCCCATGGATCTGTGATACCCGACACATAAACCGGTAAATTAGTTCGTGGTTTATCAGCTTGTTTGAGCGTTTCCCACACTATTTGAATAACCGGCAAACAAAACGCTCCCGTTTTACCACTACCAGTCTCTGCTGCTATTAACACGTCACCACCTCCAAGTATTAAAGGTATCGCTTCCGCTTGAATGTCTGTGGGCAACAGCCAGTCCATTTCTTCGATGGCTTTACCTATTTCGGGCAAAACGCCCATCTCTTCAAACGCCGCCGCCATCCCTAATAAATATTAGATACCTAGACTAAAACCAGTAACATCAGTGAACAATTAGCACTAAGACGAGATACATGACAATAAAAACAACATTTACCAAATTTGATAATTGATAATTTACAACCGCGATTTATGTATTTATATAACAAATATTTGTGAAGTAAACGTTTAAATTGTTTATTTAAAAATCATAAAATAATATATATGATATATCTTTTGAATCAAATATTGATTACAGATTGGTATCTAATCATTTCGGTCAGGGTATGCAGATTGTATATTATTCTGTGGTATGATGGCACAATATTAATGGGGCATGTCTGATAAGTGATTATATTACTACAGAATTCTTTGATATTATTACGTTTATATATTATGTAACTTTTAGATAGATAACCCTGGTAATAAATAATCATTAAAATTCAGCCAAAACTGAACTGGCCCAACATTTCGTACCAAAATATTATCTCGAGACCCATTAATTATTCCTGTGTAATATTTTAGCCCATGTGCCATAACATATATTGATTTAAAGAGCCTTGATGGTTGATATATTTTAAGCGCTAAAAATATTAAGGCTCTCTACATTGACCTCATAATTATATTATATAAAGGTTAGGGTAGGTGATTGACCTATAAATCAACTTTGTAAGTTTATCGACTATCATCTACGATGAATTACATATTATTGGAAGTTGTTTAAGTTTGCTTACTTTTATTTTTCGAGGTACTAACGGGAAAGCACCCTATTATACTTGAAACATGTTTTAACTTTGGGGTTGATGAGCTTGAGGCATTTTTCAACTGTTTAAGTTGAACATATTAAATTGAAGTACGCGAGTGACAAACATAATCCACCCGACAATCGCCATAGGTGAATTATACAGTCATAATATATGGTTAATCATGTATGTTCAGGTAGAAATTTACACGAAAAATTTAATTATGTCGTGGAAATTTACACTAAATATAATTACGATAGATAGACGATAGACGCTTTCGTCTGTCCCCTAGTTTGATAATCTTGATTCTGCTTTAAAAAAAAAAACCCATACGAACGTCGATATCCGATTTACTTCGGAAAATGGTTAATGGCAATGAATTATAGCTGTAGGAAAATATAGAGACTGTAGACATAAGAAATTCGTTAGTCCAAAACGGAGTAAAATTTACATTTCACGGGGATCACGATTAATAGACAAACTGATCATCGGTATAATGACCTATATAAATGATAAGTTGTGCAAACTACTAAGTATTTTGAACGCGCTAGTGCGCTATTTTTCACACCGAGGTAAATGAATATTTCAAAATTTTCTTGTATAACTTGAAAACAAAAACTTTTTTGCCTTAAAAATTGGCCCGCCACAAGCGTAGGGCCGTCAAATCAGCGGCACCAACATTGCGGACATCAATACCGACGTTACAAAACATAACTTGCCCATTAAAAATACTTATCAAGTCCCGACTCCCGACTCTTGACGAATTACCCAGATGTGTTCCAGACCTTGAGTACTCGTTTAAACTGTTTAAACGTTTAAAGCGAGACAATATATTCCCATGATAAAATAACGAAAAAATAAATTTAAATAATAATAATTAAAACAAAAATAATAAAATATAAGTAACTAATAATTTTTATTTTATCATGATACCTATCTACTATCTATCGGTAATGTACAAAAACCACGGTTGCAGATAGAACCTTGACAAAATAAGCTATTTACCTATAACGATAAACTTACTAACTTGTCAGAGTATCGTGCATTTGTGTCCAGTAAATGAAAAATTCTATTCGTGTTTTTGTTTTCGTCGGGTTAACAAATTTATTTTTATAAAGAAAAATTCCGTTTCAATATTGTTTTTGATCTACTCGATTTAATACATATACGAATATTATTTTTTCTACCCGAAAAGGTAAAGTATATTATACGCATAGATGATATTAATATTATTTAGCTGTAATTATATATTGTTTTACTGTTAACTACGCATTTAAAAGCAAAACACCCGTCTGTTACTTATAAGTTAAAATTAAATAAATATTGACTTTATTTATAATAATATCGGAGATTACGTGAAGGAGATTGTTGAATATTAACCAGCTTTATTGGGTCGTGTATTTGTAATCAGTGTTTTAATGCAATCGTTTTACTTTAAATTGTATCAATAAAAAAAAAAAAATTTTTTTTAATGTTAACAGTGTGTAGAAATGGCTTATGTGTCATGGAATATTTCTGGTTTACTGAGCTACCTAAATTTAAAAAAATTTTTTTTTTCAATCTCGTATGCTTTTTAACATAAAACAATGATGTAAACAAAATTTGTCTGATCATTAGCTGTAGACATTTCTATGTTTTATCAAATAAAATATACAACAAAAGGTACTTATTTTTAACTATCCATAGTAAGTTTTAGTTGTCCAATTTATAAATTATCTTTTAAGAAAGAATGTAGTAAGTATATGTTCAAACAATTTTTACATTATAAAATAAGTGAAAAATTATTTTAATGTTTTTTATTTTTGTAACTTTAAATTTTGTTATTTAAATATAATTTATGAATTATGTTGCAATTAAACCGCAAATTATTTCAAGTTATTAAAATGTTTAATATTCTTAAAATTTATAGTTCGATTATAAATTCTTTATTTTTAATTATACGCAGAGTAATGTTATGCATTTTTGTATTGAAATTTAATATTTATAATCTAAGTATTTATTAATTATTAATATTATTTTTACTTACAATTTAAACAATGATTAAAGTTTATTGTATTTTAAAACATAAAATAAAATGAATTGTATAAAAATAATAAAATTTATGGTTAGATTGTGTTTTTTTGAATCTAAATTAATTATTGATGTATAATTATATTTAATTATTTATTTTTTTCAGGTCTATTCAGTTGGTACTTAAATGATACCAAGATTAATTTAGACTTCAAGTATTTAAAAACATATTTTTTCATCAGTAAATGCAGCTTTATACCTCATATTTTATCGAGGTATAATATTTAAGCTATAAGTTGTTGGACCTATTATGGATCATCTTATTGTTTGTACAAGAAAATGTAAGTTTCAATTTATTTTACTGAATTTATAATTTTAGCACAGTAATTTCTTTCACTAAAACATTTAATTTTTCCTCTGTTTATAATACTTAATGTATGAGATATTATTATTTTAGTAATTAATAAATTATCAACAATATTTGAATGTTGATAAAATATAACATAAATTAGTCTAAGCAGTATGCATTTAGGTCTTAAATCTTTAGCTATATGATAAAAAATGAAAATTTTATTTATTAATTTTTAGTGTCTTTTAATCGTCAAGAAAATATTGGTTGCTTTGGAAACATCGAACCATATCCATGTGACAGTCAAATAGAAACAAATTTTAAATTTCCATCACCTCCACATCTTACAAATGGATATTATATTTCACCAAATGAACCTTTACCTCAAAATAATACTACATCATCTTCATATTCACACAGCGATTCAGATTCTGCATCAGACTCTGATTCATTGTGTTCAAATTCTGATGTGTATGAACAAGAATGTTTCACATATGATAACCAATTGTTACCGTACAAAAAAAACAAAAAATCTGTAAATAGACTTCGTTCTTCATATACTTCACGTGGATATACAAATAATTCAATCCCATATAGTCATAAGCATTCATTCGCTCACTATTTGCCACCTATTGGTGTTTTTTGGGATATTGAGAACTGTCAGGTAAGTCATTATATTTATATATAACCAATTTCAAAATACATAATATTTAATTATGAATAATCTTAGGTTCCAAAAGGTAGGTCTGCAGTAGCAGTCGCCCAAGCCATAAGAGACAGATTTTTTATTGGTTATAGAGAAGCTGAGTTTCTCGTCGTCTGTGATGTTAAGAAAGAAAATGCACAAGTTGTTCAAGAACTAAATGATGCTCAAGTAAGTTGATTCTAGTGTTTTACAATGAGTTGTTTGTATTATTAATTGTATTTATGTAATTTTTATTAGGTCAATTTAGTTCATGTTACATCTGTATGCAAAAATGCAGCCGACGAGAAACTTCGCCTTTCAATGAGAAGATTTGCTGATTTACATGGTTCCCCTGCAGCTGTAGTTTTAGTTTCTGGTGATGTGAATTTTGCATCTGATCTTTGTGATATTAGACATAGGTATATCTATACTTTTATTTACTTATAACTTATTTAAGTTCTATAATCATTCAAATTTTAATTTTTCAGGAAAAAAATGCATGTAATATTATTACACAATGAACTTTGTTCTGAAAGTCTTATTTTATGTGCCAATGAACATTACAATTATACTCATCTAGTTGAAATGTTACCTTTAAGGAATGCTCTTCGAGTAAGTAAAATTTATTTTATTGCTGTAATCACTTCTTAAACACTATGCTCAGTCTTATCATAAAATATGTTTTACAAATTTATAAGCATTATGATTGGTTAGGTAAGTTACAATTAAACTGCAATATAATTTTGCCTAAAATACATCAGAATACTAAGTATTTTTTTAAACTAACTTTCATATAATTCCCATGGATAACTGTCATAATAAAAGTTATATTTATTTCTGTATAAAAGATAAACAATAACAAACAAATGTTAAATATTAGAATATTTTATAAGTATTTGATAAATTTTATCTATTTCTATTTATTGAATAGTTGTTATTCAGGTTCATATTTAAATTTGTTGTGATTTTTATGATTAGAAGAATAAGTTTAATTTAATTTAATTTCCATTTTTATGAGTATAACTAAAGAAAATAAACATTTGTCTTTGGTTTATTTTAATGAATAGTTTTTTATGTGATCATTGGTCAGTTTTATTTTTCAATATGGGAAACTCATTTTTTTTAATAACATTTAATTGAATAATGATTTTATTATGAAAAATAATAAAATAAAGTTATTTTAAGTATAATTTTGAAAGTTTTTGAAATATATTTATATTGTTTTTAGTTTTTATTTTTAAAGATGTTACATTTTTTTAGATTATTAAAATATGAACTCTAATTATTTTACTTAAGGAAGAGAATAATATACTTTAAAAATCCATTAAATATTATCATGCTTTGATAATTATTAAAATATTGTGAATTGTAATA